CATAACCCCAGCATTAATTAAAACAGCAATTGGAGCCCGGGCACGGTGGTTCACGCCTATAACCCCAGCACTTGGGGAGTCTAAGGCGGGTAGGTTGCTTGACTCCAGGAGTTCAAGATGAGCCAGGGCGACATGGCGAAACTCCATTTCTAAAAAAAAAATACAAAAATCAATCAGGTGTGGTGGTACACACCTATAAGTCCTAGTTACTCGGAAGGCCGAGATAAGAGGATCACCAGAGCCTGGGAGGCAGACGTTTCAGTGAGCCAAGATTGCAACACTGCAGCCTGGCAACAGAGTGAGACTCTGCCTCAAAGTAAAAAAAAAAAAAAAAAAAAGCAACCAGGAACAATTCCCTTGAAAAATCCCACCCCAATCTCCAACCTCATTAAGTCTCACAGCTTCTGATCTTTCAGTTCTGTTCTGAGATTTTCCCAGATGTGACAAGAAGTCACCATCAGGAGAAAGGGGGCTCTGTGTCCTATGTCACCTGATCAGTAATGGAAACTCAGTCTCCTCTTCTTAGTGCAGAAGAGTAAGCAGCAGCAGACCAGGCCCTCAAGGCCAACCACAGACCTGGTGGGATCAGGTGGGAAGAGGACAGAGGAGGGGCCACAGGACAGAGGGGCTCCTGGGTGGCTGCAGAGCCATGCCAGTGCCACACAGGGATGGAGTACAGGGAGGATACTAATGCCTGGACTCCTGTAAGAGAAACAGAGCTCCCAGCATCGCTGGGGCAAGCTCCAGGACCCAAGACTGTTAGGAAATGTGATCCTGGGCACTAACAAACAGAACGCGTAGATCAGGCGAAGAATGCTAAGTGCTGAACCACAGCTTAGGAGCCTTTTCCACCAAAACTCAAATTCCTGTCCTCCTCTAATATCCACTAGGTGGCGCTGGGTTGCCTCAAGTTCTGAGACACTCTTGAGGCCGGAAGATCATACAACAGGCAGTCCAAGGTCTTGTCTCCTTTCAACTTCCCAGCACAATTCAAACCTAAGAAATCATAGTCCATTCTTCCTTTAGAAATATAGAGTTGGCCAGGGGCAGTGGCTCACGCCTGTAATCCTAGCACTTTGGGAGGCCAAGGTGGGTGGATTTCCTGAGCTCAGGAGTTCAAGACCAGCCT